CATCATACTCCAAGACTAATAATGAAAAGTGTCAATTCGAAATATAAACTAAAAATATCCTAATTATTCTCCGTAGCTAAAGAAAAGTCTTGATGAAATTGGCTTAGTGTCTAACTACTGTAGCTTTGAGCTAAATCTGGCTGGGCACTTGTGGAGTTAGTTGTGAATAATAAAAGAGTACTTATTATCATGAATGGCAGCAGTTTTAGAGTAGTACTTATCAGAGAGAGTAGTATGATAGTATTGTTCCCTTTACTAATGCAAACGAAAGTAGCGGCCCCTCCTTCCACTTTTATGGGTAATAGTACTGTTTATGCCTTTTGGAGGGTCTTTTTGCATACTTCATCTTATATGTTTTATTAAGCTATCCCAACTCGAGTCCTACTTTACTCATTCAAGTTCAATCCAAAAGAGTCTTATATTCTTCCAAGGTGAAAGAACTTACTTAAAAACTTCAACTTCAATAGGTCGATACTAGTAATAATCTCACCAACTAGGAAGTAATCTTGGTTTCTAACTTTGACCCTAGTCCAAATCGAGGCTCTGCTGCCTATTTCTGAATCTCCTTCGTGTGGTAGTAATCTCGTACTTATTTCCGAGTATCGACGAGTGGTCTATAGATCTGGACAGTGATCTCTAAATTTCATTAAGTTCACTGAAATGGGAAGTCCTTGAGCTTTATCTTTATCATTTCTGCATTGATAGCTACCTCTAACAGATTTATATGCATCCATTCAAGGTGCTTACCTTGTGCTTGACGCCTTTGCGTTCTCTAACTAGATTTGTTTTGTTAGAGTTATGACCATGTTGCTTTAAAGTTAAGTAACACACAAAGAGATAACAACTCTTTCACTTAATTTGAAGCTTCGCGTTGACTACTAACCTCCCTTTAGATACAGTTTTAACCCTAATTTGCTTAGAAAGGCCTTGGGATTTCCTTGTTGAACACTTTTGTGTGAACATGCTAAGTTACTCAGTTAAGCTCGTGTTCCGTGCAAGTAAGTGCGATTATTTTTAACTAAAAAGTATCCTTGATTGTTATCGTTATAATTGTTAAGTGACGTTTCTTGAGTGCTGTTACCTACTAATAATAATCAATGTTATTAAACTTTATTATTATTATTTAAAACAGAGCTATTATCTAGAATATTTAAATACCAGAATCGCTCGTATATGAAATAGGAGCTTTTCGCTCGGGACTCGTTGCACTCGCTCGTCCTGTGCGAGTATTTTATCTTAACTTTTGAATCTTTTTATCATATTTTTAGCGCGGGACGTGCAAGGCTTCCTTGGTTATCGCTGCGACCACAGCGAGGCTCGCGTCAGTTATCCTTTAAAGATCCTTTCATGGCCGCTGTGCACTCTGGTGCAATTTAATGGTAGCATTAGGTGCTCTTTTGGTGCCTTTGACCGTTTAATTGAACCTAACTGATAAAGCTTCGGGATTTCACTGTACATGCTTTAACGGTGCAAAGATTGCTTTTTGCCGCCAGAGCGTTATCGTAAAGTGTTCAAAAAAGATTGGCCCTATATATTAAATTAGCGCTCAACTTAGGCGTTAATCCCAACGAGTTTTCGATGGTTTCGATCTAGGTTACTTAATGGGTTGCCATCCAAAGAGTGGAATGCTGCGGGCAAGTAAACTTAACTTCAACGGGTCATTTATATCTCTACTCTGCAAAGGAGTCAGAACTTGGTGTCCGTAAAAACTGAAACAATCTACTTGAGATCAGCTATGACACTAACGGCTAATTAACAGTGAAATCCAATGCAGCGTGATTATGGTAACTTCCTTATTAGAGTTCTGTGTTGTGAGGTTTCTGCAGTACTTCGGAGAGTTCTACAGTTGCAATAACTAGCTGAATTAATCAATCAAACATAATTAAGGACGCACGGGTCGAAAGATCTGCTTTTAAAACTGGTAGATACTCTAGGTTGGGTAAAGACCTTCGGGAAAATTAAATCTTACCTGTATCTTAGGTTTTAACATTATGGTTAGTAATGTATTGCTCACTAACGAGACTTGGTCCTAAACGGATGAAATCTAAGTGAACTTTATAGCTAAACCCTAATAATAAACACACAAACAGATCACAACTGTTTCACTTATTAGGACAGCTCCACTTTGAGTACTAGCATTGCCTTCCGGGGCAGTTTTTTGTAATATACCGAGGGAAAGCATGGAAATCCTTGGCTGAAACCTTGGTGGACTGTGCTAAGTTGCTAAGTTAAGATCTTGTTCAGTGCAAGTAGGTGCGGTCAAAAGCAAACATGAAACCTAGTTTAGCAATGAGCGATGATAGCAAAGATTGTTTGCCTCCTTCCAAGGCCGCCGGCGACTGATTCTCCTTGTAGCTTAGGTTCTTCCCTTGTCTCATTGGACTTGGTGGCCGGTGTGTAACTCCACTGTAATAATGTGTGTTACTATAGTCTTAGCTACTAGTACTATATATATAAGGCGACCATATTGATTAATTTATTTTGTACGGTGTTAATTTTAACTGCTAAAACTCTCCGAACGAAGAAGCCAGTTGAAACCTAGCCAACACCTTATTTTAGTCTTTAGTTTAGTTCTATTTACCCAAGAATCAAAAAATTTAACCTGCTATCTTTCTACGGGTATAAGCACTGTCTTTGACACTTTGGGCGTGTTATTAACGAATTAAGTCGTTTAAAATCCGTATAAGAGATAAAAGCTAATTAGCTCTTTCTCGATGTGTGCTCTTTCTCTCCTGCACGTGGCATCTTTTGTATCAGCGCAAGAGCTGGCGTCGCATCCTCCATTGGCTCGACCACAGCGAGGTACGCGTCGGCTATTATCCTTTAAAGATTCAATTTTGGCAGCTGTGTAGGTTAGGCTGTTAGTGGTAGCACTAGACTTCTTTTGAGGCCTTTGGCTGTTAGCAATTCTCGGTGCTGGTGTACACTCATTAATGGAGCGAGGATTGCTTTTTGCCGCGAAGCCATTATCGTCAAGAGGTCGGAAAAAATCTTCCCAAATTAAAAAAGCGTCTACCATGGGTGGTATTCTTTTAGGCTTCACGATGGATTTCGGTGTAGAGATGAAATGGCGTGCAAATGTAGGCTTATCTGCCGTGGCTCAGGTCACCCTCTTCTGTTCGGCAGTGCACGGCGGCTGTTCTTGGAAGCTCACTGTTTATTAATTCCCATTCATAGCAAATTATGGCAGTATCCGAGTTAATGCTTCGGGCTACTTTATGGAATTACAAACCAATGGACCGTGATTATGTTACCTTCCTGCGGTGTGCTTTAAGCTCAGGGCTGCACATTACTCTGGAAAGCTGTAATTTCTTTACTGGTCGTATGGAAAGATAGACCTTTAAAATTGGTAAAACCTTCATATTAGCTTGACTTCTTTGGCAGATATCATCTCCTTGCGTCAAGGAGCGTACGTGATGGTTATGCACATGCCTTGCGCCTGGTGCCTTCGTGTTTGGTACTAGAACCGTATAGCTCTATGGCCAACCTTAAGAGGGTATTGACTATTAATTAGTAAAGGCTAATTAACCTTGAACTTTTTAGAATAACGCCGAAGTGAGGTATTCTGGCATTGACTCCTGAAGCTTTTTATTCTTAGACTTAGTAAATGAAGGGCATTTTGAGCCTTTACTGAAACATTAGCAATATTGGCTAAGTTGCTAGAGTAAAACACTGTCGGCGCAAGTTACAAAAACAAAAGCGAACTTTGTGGCTGCTCTGGTGATGAGCGGTGACTAATAATAGTATGCCTCGTTGCTAGGTCAATGGTGCATTTCGGCATTTGGCTTATGTATCTAGTGATAGGTCAAGTAACCTTGAACTAATACTGTCTTGGCTAAGGTGTCGGAGTACATCAGTGTTAGTGACATGTTGTTAAGGTCGACCTAGCTAACTGATCGAAGCAACGTGAACTAAATAGTTTCATTAATCATTGTACTTATTACAGAGGCTCTTTTACTTCAAGCTAGGGTGGGTTTGTCACATTTTAGTTAAATAAAATTATTTGTAGCAAAATAAATAGTACTTCTTTTTTCTTGTTTAGTCTGTTAAGCTCTATTTTTACGTATCATTGCGATGTTATACGAGAGTATTTTTGTTCAGCTTTGTAAACGAGTAAAGCATGGAAGTTTACTGTTAAGGTTGAGGAGAGATTACAATATCTAGTAAGTCTTGCAATTCCCATTTGGTCAATAGTTTAGAAAATCGTGCAACTTTCTAACAAACGATTTTTTAAACATGAGAAAAGTTTTATTGATTTATTTCCATGGTTCTGCTAGAGTAGACGTTAAGTTTACCTACTAAGGTGAGTTGACTTTTTTTAAATATTTAGATTATTGAAAGTGAAAGGGTTAGGTTGGAAGAACTTGTCATCGAACACGCTGTATTCTTGCTAACTGATAGTCGTGAAAGCAGGTGGTTGCCCACCGTCCTTTGCCAGGCTCATGATAAAGTTAAGCAGCTTTTAGATTTTATTAAGCTTCATCTGTTGAGGATAAACTAATAGATTTGTATGAATACCGCTTTGGGTTTCGATTCTTTTGTGGTTATGCGCCATTGAAATTACGATACTCCTATTTAAAAAACGCTTGAGTTATTAAAAAACTATTATTAAGATAAAATAATGATAGTAGTCGGTATAGAAAAAGGTTTTAATTGAATATTTTAAGTATTTTCATTTAAGGTTGTTACTTTTGCTCGGATGTTGTGACTCCAGTGAATAATATTTATACAAACCGTTAATGTGACTCTTTGCTAATTATCTACATCAAGCCCTTTGAAAGCAGAACATTGGACCAGTAGTGTACATTGACGAGGCCAGGCCTATTTCGACCACTAGTATATCATCCTAATCAAATCAAAAAACTTGACTTTGCTACTATAAATGCACTCTAATTACTACATGTTATTGCGTAGCTTCCTTCAGTATACATAATAATGCAATGGTGGGCGTCCCTTATAATTTTAACTTTTTTTTTTAAGCTATTGCAATTATGTGTGCTAATAAAATACCTTTTTGTAAAGACTTTCCTCTACCTTAATCTACATATAAGTAATACAATGTCGCAGTTTTAGTTTAACAGGATAAAAGGTTGACTAAAAAAAAAATAACTAAAAAAGATATTATACCGAGGAATCCTGCTAATGTTTTATAAATAGGCCTTCCCTTTATAGCAAGCATTTTAACAGTAGAATTGTTTGTTTCCTTTTTGCAGTATCCGGCAAGGTCAGTTCATTTATATTTTTAATTATCTTCTCTGAACTTACAACCCTTAAGTGCACTTGCACTAAAATAAGAGTACTAAAAAAAATTTAACTTTAAAATTACTTTGTATACCCGTTACTATTTTGTTAATATTGCCTAATATTGTTAACCTTTCTATCTCCAGCACTGAAGTTGAGGAGACCCCTTTGGGTACTCCATATTATATGGTGACCGAAGCAAGCTTTTTTTAATTTTGATTAAATAATTAGGAATAGTTCCTCACCAAATTCAAGGGTTTTTGTCCCTGTATAATTTATTAATATCCCGTGGGGAAGCTTTTAGTAACTGCGTTTATGCTCTGAGAAGGTTAGCAATTAAATCAATTACAATGAATATTATAAATATTTAAAGTCTTGAAGGTCCTGCATGCCTTTTGGGATAACAAGGAAGAATTGTTATTAAAGTGTTGCAAGGACGCTCTTTACTTGGAGGAGATTACCGAGTTGGCATTTACGAAAGAAAATTTTGATCAAGTAAATTGTTTTTGTGTTTGGTCTCCTTATTCAGTAGATTCTCTTACTGGCGTTTTATAAACAGTTCTACTTGGACTCTGATCTTGAGGATAATAAAGAGGATTAATATTTAATTGCTTCATCATTTTGCAGCTATACAAAATAACTTAATAAAATGGACGTTTCTTTATAGGGGGTATAGAATTGCAACCTTGCCGAGTTCTTAGTCCGACACTCTGACACTCCCGTCACGCAGGCTAGGAGCGCACGTTTGTACTAAAAGCTGAACTTTTGTATCAAGCAGTCGATCCAACACCAATATTTTATTTTCATTTGATATGCAATAAACGCTAAGCAAATGTTTAAAAATTAATAAAATTTTTGTTAACGATGTCATTATGAAGCCAATGATGGAAGATGAATAAATAGATGCACCAATTAAATTACGCTCGTGATAGCCACTAACAAAAATTATCTACTAACTTCAAAGAATTTATGACATAGTGTGTATACTAAAAAGTTTTTAAGTTACTACATCGGTTGGTACACTAAAGAAACATGCCCTTACCCCTAGAGAACCGGTTTTCACGAGAAAAGTTAGAAATACCAGTTTGGGTTCTAAGTTCTTTAATGCCCCGGGGTTTTTTCAGATCTCCAAAAGTTTGGGGTTGTTAGGCGTTTTGAGGGTTTGAATGTTTTTACAATAAATTATAAACACACTCCCAGGGCCTGTTATTTAACCTATGCAGATAAAATTAATGAGGCGGGCCTTATTATCAATAAAATATTTTAGTTAGCAAGGCTCTAAAATTTATTTATATACTATAAGATTTCAAACTATTTTTACAGTTCTATACTGAAAGTAATAAAATCATTATTATCAATAAAGCTTATATTAAAAAATAACCATAAAGCTGAACTTCTGTTATTTATCTTCTTTTTATAGACAAAAATTATAGTTTTTTAAATTTTTTTATAGTTTAAGTTAGAATTAGGTAAATTATTTAATCTTGGTTATAGGATTTCATAAATCTGGTTACAGTAATCTAAGAGAGTTCTTCTTTTTAGGTTTGAATGGAACTTTAGTTGCTAAGTAAATTAGGTGTATTACACTTTACAAAATAATTGTATATTGTAAGCTACACTAACACCTAAAATTTAGTGAATCTCTCTAAGGTTTTGCTTAAGTCTTTATTTAAAATATTTTGTTTAACTAAGTTGAACTTATAAATTAGGTTATAAATTAGGTTTTAAAAAGCTATATTTTTTTTTAGAGTTATAAATATGCAAACAATACTAAATTTTAAGAATTACTAATAATTTTAAAGGTAACGTCAGTTATTTTTGCTTTTATTACACCTGCAAAATCTAGATTTTGTATGTCCAACAATTAAGATATAATAGATTCTATAAAACAGATAAATATAAGAGCTTCGACGAAGTAAAATAAAGTCAAAGAATAAAGAGTTACTAAATAAAAAGGACACTAGAAGTGCTAAGAAAAAAAGTAATTAAAAAAAAAAGTAATGTAGTCACTTAGTAAATTATTTATACTACTACTAATAGATATACCAACAAAAGTTTGTAAAACGGTTCACATGGTCTCAAAACCTATTGCAAAAGGATATATAGTTTGGAGTGTATATAAAATATATAGCTGAAAACATAGATTGTAATAAACAAAAGGTAGGGATAACATTTTTTTTTTTTTTTAAAGTGAAAAAAGATACACAAATGAACCCTGAAACAAGGGCATACAAAATTCCAATTCACCATCACAGTTTAATTTTAACCCAGAACAAATATAAACAAAGCCATCAACCAATAGGAAAAATAAAAAGTAATAAAATTTATGGTTCTCCCACAAAAATATACTTTTTAGTTTTATCAACAACTCTCTTTAAAGGGTCAAACTCTGCTAAAAAATCTAAAGACTTTATTTATGTTGTGTAAGGATTATGGTGTTCGTTTTTTTATAAGGTCAATGGGCACTTAACGGCATGACCTTTCAAGAATGTTTTTATCTTTTTTTTTCAACACTGGCTTACTACTGTCTAATTTAGAAGCACTTTAAACTATCTGATTTAAATTCCCCCGCCCTCGGGGGTTAATAAATTATTATTCACCAGTGCCTTTTCCCAAAGGGTTATCGTGACTGTCCAAAATGAATGAGCGGTTTCGCAGAGGCGCATTAAGCTGGGATCGACCACGTTTAATATAGTATATACTAGTAAATAATACTATCCGTATACTGTAATGTCCTAATGCTATTCTAGGACGCTACCGTTTATGAGATGTAAGCTCTCTTTAGCGCACCACAACAAACTGTACATATATTCAGCCTCGATGTAGTTCGAAGTAAGTTTAAACCGTGCCAATCTAAATATAAATGTTATGATTTAGTTAATAAGCTTCTCACTTTGCTGGACTAAAGTAATTTTTAGCGTGATAATAGGATTATGTACTATTTCAGAACCGGTTTCAAGGTAATCCTAAAGCTTCTAGAATCGATGCAAATAGTGTTATCTATGATACCCATGCTAGCAACCTTCAAAGTTCCGAACAGTACAAGACAAAGATATAGTTCAAGAAAATACCACAGGCTTTCGGACGCGCCTATTCACTCCAGATGCAGGCATTGCTACCACTTAGCCTTATATTACACAAAATCAAAGGACCTACCTACACCTTTGTCTAAAAAAAAACGGTTCAGTAGGCAATAGTCCTAGTATATCAACACCGGTTTGATTATCGAGAGAAGTTAGTAAGCTAAAAGCTAAGTTGTAAATCCTTTCTAGTCTAACACCGTTCGCCATAACCCTTAATGAACTTAAAATAATGGGACCTTTTAAAGATCTCAAGTGACTTATTAGTTTTCTCATTTTTAAGAGCAGTCTATCGGCCCAAGAAGACTTTTGGCTGTTGGACTAGACTATTCTCCCCTAGGACTCATCAAAATGCACGGTAAATCTAATCACTTACCCTCAAAAGCACGATAACCATGTTACTGCCTACTGTGTTCTGATCATATAACTGAAGAGATAGGATGATTAATTACGAGAGCCTACTGTATAATTTCAGCTCAAGTCAAGTCAAGTCAAGTAGTTCGAAATATAGTTAGTCAGCACCCTTCAATATAGTGACTACATTTCACTTGCCGTTTTTCCTTGGATGGCGTCCGACACATATACATCATAGGGTGAAGTTTGAAGTCACACCGGATCCTATAGGTTGAGTCCAACGAGGAATTCCACCTTAGGGCTAATTTTCTTCGGTCGCTTAACGATAGTAACCTACGCCGTTGTTGTGTTAAATCGTTACTTTATTAAGAGTGTACAACATTGCAGGAAAGCGCCGAGGATAGCCAACAGTCAGGTCTCCTACTCAGAGCCCAACCACCTAAGCTGAGTATAACACTGGCCTTACGATGTACCTAACTTTCGATTAAGACCAAATAATATCCTAGATCGCTGTGACCACATGGCAATGAAAGATGCCCGCGCAAGACAAGCGTTGAGGATATTAAAAAGATAAAACGCTGGCACCGGCGCGAGCATCGAGAAAGGAGGTTTTCCCATTCTCTTATACATGCTTTTTGAAGGGCTTAAATATACAAAATACCACCCTTTGGAGGGGTAAAATAGTGTTCATACCCAAATTAGTTAATCATTCCTTTCAATATGAGATAAAGATGCTAGATATTTTTAATATATATTATTATCTTTTTTATATACATTTTGATAACAAAATTATATATATATTTATATATCTTGTTACCTCTCGCTCTCCTGTATTATACATACAACAAAAATTCTAGACGCCTAAGAAGCAGTGGGCGCTAACGAAACGCTCTCCAATAATTGGTACATTAGTTTTTTTTTTGCGAGTTTTTGGTTTGTTGTGTCGAGGAAACAAGAAGCCGTTCATAAATTATATGGCAACGATGTAAAGTATCGTTTCAAATATTCCACGTCGCCTCCGGCATTGAGCGAGACAAGCTTGTTATGGCCCATGTGCAGCGAAGAGACTATTGGCTTAGACAGCAGATGCATATTTTATGAGTGGCCGGCCTTACAACGCAAAATAGCGTAGCACGATAGTTTGCTTCTGGCGCAAAGTAAACGATAAAAAAAATTCGATTCGCCATTGAGATTCACGTGTGACCGCCGCGCGTGCTTACAAAAAGTTAATATTAACAAAAGAAATTTATACTTTTAAAAATTAAATTTTCTAATAACATTATATGTGTAATATATATATAAGTATATTACATAGTAAAGTATGGTTAAGGAAAAAGAGAAAATGTAATAATATTTATTAAAAAAAAAAATGTATAAAGTATAAAAAATAGAAAGGAATTTATAATCTTTACAATTCAAAAGAATGATATAGAAATATTATATATATAAGAAAAAACAGTTATAAATATGCACTAGGAATATAATTACATAAAAATCTAGCTATCGAGCAAATTTTTATGTAAAATATAACTCCACTTAAATTTTTTTTTTATTTTTAAAGTTTTAATTCTGTGTTAATTTTCATTATAAATTTTTATTTAATTCCTTATTTTTATTAGTTATATTTTTTTATAGGCACTTGAAAGCTCGTCACTCAAACAGACTTTGACTTTACTTTTGAAGCCGAAAGTATATTTAGTCCTTTAGGGTTAGGGTCATTTAACTATGAAGTTTATACTAAATTAAATCGAAATTAATGTTGAAATATCCATGGGGTTTTATCTATAGTCTGTCCACAAGGTTTTTTCTTAAACCGAACCTGTGCAATATCCTTCATTGAATTGCCAGGTTGCCAATAATAAACAAGCAAGGCAAAATACCTCGCAGACAACTACAGGCAAAAAACAGGAATAAAAGAGAAAAACCCTCTTATTTAATCATCGTAAAATTATATATATATATATACTTAAAAAAAATTAAATTAAACACAGGGGTTCAATTAAATTGTACCTATCAAGTTCGGTGTCAACTAAATTCTATGGTTGTAAGAAGATATCATATAGTTGACAATAATTGCCTTGTTTATTTATTTTAACTTTATACGGGATTTATTTTTTATTATTAAAATTTATACTGTTTGCCTCGCAGGGTTAATGGGTGGCACAAAAATGTGTCCACAGCTTCTATAATCTAATATCTACTAAAACTTTCCTTTTAAAAAAATCCTGAGAGAATTATTTGTCTGCTGTATGGCATTTTCAATGGTGCTGCCTTTTTTTCCTTTTTACTAAAAATCTCTGTCATCCTAGGTTCAATCTATCTCAATAGAGTGGAATGTTCTGCGCGTCGTTTTGAGCTTGGATTCAATAACCACCATGA